GCCAATGCAACAGGGACCTCAACACGCGACACCCCCTCGGGCAATGCAACACACCAATCGCACACCATTTGAACTCGCCTCAAAATCATGCGAAAGCAACTGCCGCTGCCATTTCTCACAGTCACACACTCTCAGGCCCGACTGGACGCAGTCAACACCAGCCCTGGCCTCGCCAGTTTAACCTGCAGTCTGAGACAACAACTTTGGGTTCTGTACACAGTAAAGTTCTCAATCTAGGGACTTCAGTCTTTTACCTACAACCTCGAATTTGACCTGATGCTTGTAGTGTAGTGATTCTGATTGCAGTGATTCTGTGTAACTTCCTCAATCTGGAGACTTCCGTCTTTTACCTACAACCTCGTATTCGACCTGATGATTGTAGTGTTCTAAGTAAAACCACGGCTTAGACGCTACACCCTCTCCGAGCACTATGATGAGTTGTGAGTGTGACTTTTATTGACTAACAATCTCCGAACTAGTCTAACCTGACAGCATTGGAGATGTTTGATACGTTCCGGTATATGTTCTCCAGAACAAACAAAAAACGCTATCTGCGACTTATCGAGGGGTACACAATCCTATTTACTATGCAAGCTGCGGGGATAAGGCAGTATTCCTTGTTTTACGGGGAACCAGCAAGTTTATAATGAGGACTACAACCAGATAGAACTGGGCGGGCAAGTTCCAGAAAGCAGTTCGGAGGGAGAAGATGCGATCGCTGGAACAGGAAGTTTATTGGCTTGACGTTTCGGAGTCTCGCTCGAACCGATCCTCAGAGACAATCGCAAACGATGGGTTCAAGCGAGAATCCGAAAAGGAAAATTAGTAAAATTCTTGTTCCAGCATTTTCGCCAGCTGAAGCCAACGGCATCAACTTTGACTGCGGTAACTGGGTCCAACATTGTCTATCCAGCCTTCAAGAAGTAGAGACGCGGTACTCACCAGAGAAGTAGTCTTCATGCGAGGTTTGCGCAAACCGTAACTCATCAAGCAGGCGTTGATTCCACTGGACATTAGAGGTACCCGGCTGGCTGGGAGCGGTGGCAGCCTCACCAGCAGTTGGTTCGTATGAAAACTCGTCTGAAAGCTCCTGGAAGTCCATGAGAATCTAGACAAAGAAAATGCAAAAAAAGGGCTACTTTGCAGAATGTCGATAGGAATTTACGCATCCAAACGAGGAAAGAGCAATGAAATGACTGGCAGTTATTACTGAGAAGCGCCGTAAAACCGGTACTGGGAGACAATGACTGCAAAAACCAACAGTCGGACAGCATATGCAAGCAATTCGAAATAAAGCAAGACGTTTTAGACATGGGATCATTTGGCAGAAGGGCAGTGAAGAGGATGAAGAAAGGCTTTTAGTTAAACAAAACGTAAAAAGAAATAAGGGCAGGGCGTTCCTTGGTAGCGCACGAATGTTCTTATTTATATTTACATGCCTACTCAATGAATTTCTGTTAGGGTTAGGGTAAGGGTGGGATAGTGACATCGTATGTAAAAAACCCCAAGTTTCTGTCTTACGGGAAGCGTGGGAGTAGGTATGTAAATATAAATAAGA